TTTGTATCAACATGCCTTTCATTGCTTCCATCTGTTACACTTGTCGGGTCTGCTACTTTAATCACCTTATTGCCTTTCATATCAAGACCTTTTGATACATCCAAAGTAAAGGCTTTACTGTCAACTTACTTCTTACTAACCACATCTTTATTATCAGTGTCGCTACTATCATAATCTGGTATTAAGAACCTGCTTTTTAATGTTTGGGGTAAAAGATTGTCCATATCTATTTTCTTAGTACTTCGTAGTACTTGGGATGCTGTACCACTGAGCTCTAGGAGACTTGTGGCAAGCTAGCTAGGCCATTTAACTAAATCCGTGGTGACGAACTCCCTGCATTCTGCTTCTTCGAAAGTCAAGTGTGTTACAAATAAGCTGTTATTACGTAAAACAAAAAAATCGTCCGCTAATTAATAGGCATTTTAAACTGAGTGGGAGAACTGAACGGGAAAATGGTTGGTTAGAGCTCATGACGTTTTCTTCTTTTAGCTAGTTGGGGTTTCACGGCTTTGTATGGCCCTGGTTGCGCCAACAGGTATGGCTCTCATACGGGGATTTTTGCCTGATATATTACAACATAAGGTATGCGGACGGCAGTGCAGGTCATGTAAAAGGTTTTATTTGTTTGAAATTATCTCGATAAAAACTGAGGTTAAGTGAAAGCTAGTAAGGGCTTGTTTCCATTCTTATCAGGCAGCCGATATATTGACAGAAAACAACAACGACAACGACAATAACGATAACAACAACTGCATACATACATACATACATACATATACTTTATTTAAGCTCGAAATTCAGTGTAGCTGTAGAACTAATATCTTCGAGAAAAAAGAGCTAAAATGAAATAAAAATATGCTATCTTACAATTTCAATATTATTTATAAACTATATACAACTAAAAGCTAAGAGAGAAAACTAAGAGGGAAACATAACTTGTAGACCTTCTGTGGAAAAGCTTCATATCTGAGGATCTCCTGCTTGAATTCTAGAGAATTTAATGTTCTGTAAGTGTCTGGGAGAGAGTTCCATATTTTGCTACCTAAGTATGAAAAACAGTGATGACCGTATGTCTTTGTTTTTGGGTTGGGAAGGGACATGATATGATTTCCCATGTACGTCATTGGGAATTTAAGAGCAATTTTGCTCCCTGTTAATCCTTTACCTACATAAATCTGATTGTTAATTCTCCCCTCAAGCTGATACACATTTCCTTGAATATCAGTTACGAGACTGTGGTGTTAAATCACGATGACAAATTCTATCTAATGAGTCAGAGGATTCTCATTTCCTGTTTGCAGGATAGTGTCTGGATACCAAAGGAAGAAATTACATGTTAACACTTGTATGAGTTTAAGGGTTAGGCTAATTCATTGAATTACACGTATTGGCTTTAGCACCATCTTTTATCTATCACACAGAATTAGACATTCTTCAAAAGCTTTTAGAGCAAATTCCTCCTTCGCATCATTTTTCTTCCATTCTTCCATATCCTAAGGAGAGAAAAGAATAAATTTTTGAATTAATATCTTTACAAAAATTTTGACTATTGATCTTGGGTTGCGGAAGGAAAAAGTAATGTGCACTGTTATGAACAGATGTAGTTAATTAGTAAAAGAAAAAGGAAGAGACTGTATCCAGAATAAGTGGTAAAATTATTTTGTTAAAAATAAATGATATGTAAGACAGTATTTACGAAATAGAGGACTTTTCCCCGTTTAAATAGTCCCATCCAAGCAGGAAATGGTTGGCATGCAGGATTCTATGCAGTTATGAAAACCCTAGACGGAGTAGAAGGTGTGCATAAGAGGATTCTCTGACTCCTCAGATTTGAAAAGATGAGGTTATGCAAACACTGAAGAGTACCTCATTGCTTTCAATGGCGTATTTCCCCAAAATTACATACGGATCCTTAAAATTGAAATGGTCAGGAAAATTTATTTGTAACACCACTGCTCCTAGTGCTGGAGCTCTGTTTGGATAATTCTGTACAGACTACGTGCCTTGTATACAAGTCCTTCCCCCCCCCCTCTTCAGAGGGCGTTCAGATGTTTTGAGCCACAATAATAGCTCATAATTTTCTTTGGAAATGTTGCTCAGATACCCTACAGGCACTTATAAAAATCACAGCCGCCTATTTTAAAGGCTTTCTTCTGTATAAATAACGTGAGTGAGTTGGTTACTTCAGGATTTATTTCTTGTTTATCAAAACGCAAAACTAAATATTTTGATTTAACCGGGTTTAAATTTAAATAAAAGATTTCTGCGCAACTAAATTGAATGGATAATTTGTAATTCAGTACGGTTGCAAGAAAAACTTAAGAAACTTCAGACAAATAGCCGCAGAAAGCTTTGAATGAGAGCAATTGAAAACGTGCAGGCATAGTGTCTGGGGACGTTGCAGGCAGATCTCCTGTAAAGGTAACATTGACTGATTGAGTGCAATATATGTTTAACATTTGCAGCAGAGATCGTATAATTAAGATATTGCTTGGATTCAGTGACAATCGCTTATAACATGAATAAGACGTTAAAATTTTCTGAATGAATCTTGAAAATTATCACAATTTCCTCAAATATATATGGTACATTGGCTGCTTTATTCTTCACTAATCATTCTGTTCAGTTGTAATCGGTCAGTTTGCTGTCGTCGGACAGTTGAAGCAATCATATCACGTCCGAGTGTTAATCACTCGTATGATCACAGATCGAAATGGAGTCCACTTGGTCCTATTACCATTATGTTTAGCTGAAGTTCGTCCTTTGTTCTTCCACACAAAGCTTTGTGCATTTTTCCATGATTTGATCAAATGTCTTTCGCTTTACATCCATCAGGGATAACAATAACAAATAACATCGTCTCGTCCAATACTGTTAATCGCGGTCGTCCGATTTTGTTAATCACCCTTACGATCACAGACCGAAATGAAGTCTTCTTGGTCCTGTTACCATTATGTTTAACTGAAGTTCATCCTTTATCCTTCCATACAAAGCTTTGTGCATTTTTCACTTTACATCCATCACGGATTACAATGATTTTTTTTAATACTTCAGTGACCTGAGAGTGATCCAATGTTTTATGTAGGTAGGAAAAATAGGTTAGCAAATTTCTGTGTAATATGCTCAGAATGCTCGTCATCTGTATTAAAAGGATTCTAGTTAGAGCTCTGATTTCTTTAAATCTATTTTACAACCTTTTCGTTGGGTTGGATGAAGCCAAAGACGTCAGTGATAGTGTTAGCGGCCAAATGTCCTCTTCTAAATATGCTGGTTCGCAGTGATGGCGAGAACTAGCTAACGAGCACACCACGCTTGGGACTCTCGTACTAACTTTTACTTTTTTCTTTAATTACTCACTTCTCCAATTCACAATTTATTTTAGTTGCATCCAATTTTGCTTCATTCTTTGTAAGTTTTTGTTTTTCTCTTTCAACACTCACACTTTGACTCTCACTGACTTGTGCTGTTATAAACTCACTTCAGCCACGGAATTCTGTCTCTACTTCTGCACAATGTCGACATTCTTCTGTTAAGTAAGCTCTAGATTACATTCTTATATATTCACTATTGCTTGCTGAAAATCAACAACAACAGTAAAACCTAATGGTTATGACTAACTGAATCAACCTCTGACTGCGTTAGCCAAAACAAGAGCTTTCGTGTGGGTCCAACTAGGCATGTCCACTTGGAAGTTATGCAGGACAGTCAATCAGGAAACTCATCACCAGATCTCAAGCTTACATAGCGTTTGACTTTTAAACTCATACAGTAACTACATTAACGAATGACCAAATCACACGGAATCGACTACAAAAAATGACTAACTAAACTAATGAGATACACGAAAAAATTACTCAATTCTGATTGGTTAAGATTAACGCAGTTTTGATCGTACGCGGTTGTTTTGACCGAATGCACAATGTCACTTGGAGAGTTTGAATAAATTATTTTTGCACTTGATGCCCGCGCTTTGCTCTTGCATAATTTTATAATAAAGTTCGGATACAACGCACGCTGTCATTGGTTGAAAGAGTGAATGCCGTTTACTTCACTACGTCTCGTGTTTCTCCCTACACTTCATTCGAGCTTTAGCCGCTTCCTGCGCGCTTTACAACAGAGCAAAGAACAATCAAGGCTTCTCTATTTGCTACCTCGTATTTTTTCATGCATATTATTTTTACGTAATCAAATGATTTTTCTCGTGGAACTTGGAATAAATAAGCACTTGTAAATTTTTAAAAGACCACAAATTTTGTTAATCTTTGGAAAAATTTACTCGTGCTTATTTAATCCAAATTAAACTTGAAATCATGTGATTACCTATGCTAACTAAATACTTCATAACAAAAATTTAACCAATGTTACTTCGTAAGATAAAATTTCACTTAAGCTTAATGTAAAATACTGCTGGAGGCTACAACACATCGTCTAATGTCGTTTACTCGAACAGGTTTATTGTTATTATTTTTACCTCAATGGTAACTCAAAAGGTCTTTGGATAAAAACAAATTTAGACGTCAGATATTGACTCTCCTTTCCAGAAGAATGCCAAAGCATAAGACAGCGTGGATAAAAAGAGAATAAAAAAGAAGGCTTCTTAGGGGTTTAAAACAAATTAGATATTCTAGGAGTACTTGCATTAATGAAAATGGTTCAAACCATTGATAAAACCACATCTCACAGAGAAACGTTTGCGGCGCGCCGTGAATGAATTTAATCTTTGCTGATCTGTTGAAGTAGCACAACAGTAAACTGAAGAAAAGTAATATTTTCTGAATTACCACCCGTAGCATTACACAGAGGTGATCAACCCAAAAAGGAATTATTGGTAAAAACCTGAACTGTATCTTTAACACTGTTGTCACTTTAAAGAGATCGTGACACGTCTGGAAAGCTCCATAGCGGATTATGATTCTATTCAAATTCTAATCTCTAAAAACACTATTCTACTCTTGACTAGCAGTTTTTTTTTAGATAAACGTGAATCTTTCGCTTCTCACCAGGAAAAGGTCCATCGCCCGGAGGAAGAAAAATAGTTCCACGGATTCTTACTTCTCTCACAGGAATTCTCTTCACTCCATCCGCCATGTACCCCTTCTCAAACGTATTGCTAGACAAAGGCTGCAAAGAACTTGATTCCTGCGGATCCGTATGGCTATCAAAACAGTCCAAGACGACTTTGTAAGGTTTGGTGACATCAGATTTTACCATTCGAATTCCTTTTCTCTGCCCAGGTGATGGTTTCATGCTCCATAAGAGTCCCATAGCTGAAACTCCGCGGTAAGATCCACCAACAGACGGTTGACTACAAATATCAATCTGGCCATGTTAGGTAGCAATGAAGTGAGCGTGTGAATCGAACATTTGCCCGCTATCTCCAACGACTCGTACCCCCAGTGTAATCTTCTGCACTGGTTTCAGTCGAACTACGTCAATCTTAGTTATTTTGTCGACGAGTGAGAATTTTGGCCACAAGGTGATCATCTTCTTTGAAATTAACGACAAAATTGCCCGAGGTGCACTTACTGAGTCAACGACCTACGAGGTCAATTATCTCTGTTTCGCCGTTCTAGACTAATTTATTCCTTTGGTAGCATAAGCCATTTTACCTATTTTTTTAGAGGGCATGGTAACGAATCGTGCAATCTGATTGGTTATTTGCCCGGTCAGTATTTTCCCATCTCTGCCCACGGGCCACGGTAACGCTTTCGTGAGTCGCCGAGTACATCCTTACTTTCGTAGCCACTTTTCATAAATACATCTCGTTTTTCCGGCTAGGCAGTATTTTGAAGCAAAGACGTCGGCCACTACCCCAAGCCGATAAATATCTTATGAATCCTCTCTTTTCTCTCTCAAATCACTTTGGTTGAGAGACAAATATTGGTTTCAGAATGAATTTGTATAAGCAGTAGTGTCATTAAGTTTGTTGCCGGACAAGTGACCTAAAAACCGTCTGCAATTAATTTTGATCGTTCATAACAAGCACCAAGAAAGTTGAAACGTGAGATATTCGGTTACAACTGAAGTAATCGATGGATTTGTCATTCATTTAATATCTGAATTATCTCAAACAACTTGGTCGTAGTGAAAGAGCGAGCGAGCCATTGCAGTAAACAAACGAGCAAACTCCCACAACTTCAAAATAAAAAATTAGAATTTACACACAATTACTTTCCTCGCCGTTTACTTAATGAACAGAGGTAAATCTTCGTACATAAATTAATCGTCGATGAGAGTGAAAAATCCTTTCCGTTAGATCATTGTCTGTTTTTGAAGCG